ATTTTTGAAANACTCCTTTCTTGGTCATTATGGAGAGGACATCTGCAACTAGAAGGAAGAGGTATAGGGATAGTGAATCCTCCTGCCTCAATCCTCTTCATGGACATAATTCGCATCTTGCTTGTCCATTGATTGTGCCTGTGGTAACACATTGGAAGATTACATGCACCGATTTAGCAAGGAACCCCATTNACTCCTTTCTTGGTCATTATGGAGAGGACATCTGCAACTAGAAGGAAGAGGTATAGGCATAGTGAATCCTCCTGCCTCAATCCTCTTCATGGACATAATTCGCATCTTGCTTGTCCATTGATTGTGCCCGTGGTAACACATTGGAAGATTACATGCACCGATTTAGCAAGGAACCCCATATTNATATCAAAAAATCAAAACACGCGGCAATAACCAACTTATTTTAATGCGGTTTGAACTTCGATTCCTTTCCATAACAAAATAGTGGATTATTTTTCATACCCTATAAATTGCCAANGTGCCTGTGGTAACACATTGGAAGATTACATGCACCGATTTAGCAAGGAACCCCATTTTTAGCATCATTGCTTTCAAAAAATCTCATTCCACCTGATCATGTGCTTTGCTTAGATCAATTTTGACAAGCATATCCCACAATTTCCCCTTCTCCGTTTTCTCGAGGAAATGAAATGTCTCATTCGCCAATAAGAATGCTATCTTGAATCTGTCAATTTGGCACAAATTCTGCTTGATTTGGTATTTTATAAACACAAATCCATTACAAAAATATAACTATTCACCCAATATTAATGCAAACCGCTCAACAGAGAGCTTTATAGGAGAGTTCAGAAGGGCGAAATACCCAAGTCCACATACTATCTCCAAAATGGCATAACCATTGAAAGAGTAGATGAGAAAAAAAACTCAGGCCGCAGCAACGTGGGATTTCGATATTTTTTTTATTGGAAAACACAAATTCATCACACAAACATAGTTACTTATCAAAAATCAATGATGATTGCTCAACAGAGTTTCACAGGAGAGTTCAGAAGGCCCACATACCTAAACTCACATACCACTCCTAAAAGAGTCTAACCTTTGACACAACCTTTTGTCCTATTAAAAAAAGCAAGAAATGAAGCATATCCAGTCTGCAATTTCATTCAAGTTACAGACGAATTTTTTTTTTTTTTAAATTTAGTGTTAAAAAGTTAAGATTGATTCTAAAGTAAGAGTACCTTCAATTTTAACTCAAATTTAGATTCAAATTTAAATTTGAGTAAAAAAAATCTAAAAAACTTATTCCGACATTTAATTCAAACTTATACTAAATTAAGAGAGATTTTTTTTTTTACTCAAATCAAGGGAGACGCAAATTTTTACTCAAATCTTTAATGGTAAGATTTCAACATCTTTTAAAAATTCAATTGTCATATTTATTCTTTTTTAAATTTGGGTTTATCCTCATTTAAGTTTGAGTCTCTCATTCTTTAAATTTGAGTTTGTCTATTGGAAGAGCCCTTTATATCAATTCAAACGTTTTACTCAAATATTAATTTAAATTTAAGTAAAAATTTGAGTCATGGTTGGAGATGCTCTAATACCAATTGTTGCTTAATGTTAAAATGAATCTTGACATTTTAGGAAGGCGGAATCACACTTTGCACCTGAAATATTTAGATATTCTTGCTTTCCATCTTAAAAAATTAAATTTCTCATATTACACTTTTATTATATTAAAATTATTACAATTTGTTCTTTTTGTTAGCTTCCGTCGTTTATTCCATCCATTTCAATGTTGGTTTTGATAAAATGAGCAATATAAGTTAACAGAAGGCCCACATTAAAAATTTAATGTGAAAAGTCTGATATTTGATAGTGCAAAGTGATAGTTCTATCTATTTTGGGTGTAAAGTGCAATTCACCTTTCTAAGGAATGATTCTACGGTGCTGTTTGGTATCTTAGAGTTTTTGTTTTGTTTTTTTAATTTTATGACAAAAAAAACAAAAAACAAAAAAATGTTTAGTAAATGTTTTTGTTTTTTTTATTGCTCTGTTTTGAAAATAAAGCTAAAATATGGAAACATTTAAAAAGATATTTTTGAATATATCAAAAAATCAAAACACGCGGCAATAACCAACTTATTTTAATGCGGTTTGAACTTCGATTCCTTTCCATAACAAAATAGTGGATTATTTTCCTTACCCTATAAATTGCCAAGAACTCTCTCTTTTCTCATTTAACTGAAGATCCTTAACCCGTACAAAAAATAATTCGAAGCTCATCCAACTCCTCCAACGCAGACGAAACTCTTGCACATGATCTTCATCACAGCAGACAATTTGTGGTGGTNTCATTCGCCAATAAGAATGCTATCTTGAATCTGTCAATTTGGCACAAATTCTGCTTGATTTGGTATTTTATAAACACAAATCCATTACAAAAATATAACTATTCACCCAATATTAATGCAAACCGCTCAACAGAGAGCTTTATAGGAGAGTTCAGAAGGGCGAAATACCCAAGTCCACATACTATCTCCAAAATGGCATAACCATTGAAAGAGTAGATGAGAAAAAAAACTCAGGCCGCAGCAACGTGGGATTTCGATATTTTTTTTATTGGAAAACACAAATTCATCACACAAACATAGTTACTTATCAAAAATCAATGATGATTGCTCAACAGAGTTTCACAGGAGAGTTCAGAAGGCCCACATACCTAAACTCACATACCACTCCTAAAAGAGTCTAACCTTTGACACAACCTTTTGTCCTATTAAAAAAAGCAAGAAATGAAGCATATCCAGTCTGCAATTTCATTCAAGTTACAGACGAATTTTTTTTTTTTTTAAATTTAGTGTTAAAAAGTTAAGATTGATTCTAAAGTAAGAGTACCTTCAATTTTAACTCAAATTTAGATTCAAATTTAAATTTGAGTAAAAAAAATCTAAAAAACTTATTCCGACATTTAATTCAAACTTATACTAAATTAAGAGAGATTTTTTTTTTTACTCAAATCAAGGGAGACGCAAATTTTTACTCAAATCTTTAATGGTAAGATTTCAACATCTTTTAAAAATTCAATTGTCATATTTATTCTTTTTTAAATTTGGGTTTATCCTCATTTAAGTTTGAGTCTCTCATTCTTTAAATTTGAGTTTGTCTATTGGAAGAGCCCTTTATATCAATTCAAACGTTTTACTCAAATATTAATTTAAATTTAAGTAAAAATTTGAGTCATGGTTGGAGATGCTCTAATACCAATTGTTGCTTAATGTTAAAATGAATCTTGACATTTTAGGAAGGCGGAATCACACTTTGCACCTGAAATATTTAGATATTCTTGCTTTCCATCTTAAAAAATTAAATTTCTCATATTACACTTTTATTATATTAAAATTATTACAATTTGTTCTTTTTGTTAGCTTCCGTCGTTTATTCCATCCATTTCAATGTTGGTTTTGATAAAATGAGCAATATAAGTTAACAGAAGGCCCACATTAAAAATTTAATGTGAAAAGTCTGATATTTGATAGTGCAAAGTGATAGTTCTATCTATTTTGGGTGTAAAGTGCAATTCACCTTTCTAAGGAATGATTCTACGGTGCTGTTTGGTATCTTAGAGTTTTTGTTTTGTTTTTTTAATTTTATGACAAAAAAAACAAAAAACAAAAAAATGTTTAGTAAATGTTTTTGTTTTTTTTATTGCTCTGTTTTGAAAATAAAGCTAAAATATGGAAACATTTAAAAAGATATTTTTGAATATATCAAAAAATCAAAACACGCGGCAATAACCAACTTATTTTAATGCGGTTTGAACTTCGATTCCTTTCCATAACAAAATAGTGGATTATTTTCCTTACCCTATAAATTGCCAAGAACTCTCTCTTTTCTCATTTAACTGAAGATCCTTAACCCGTACAAAAAATAATTCGAAGCTCATCCAACTCCTCCAACGCAGACGAAACTCTTGCACATGATCTTCATCACAGCAGACAATTTGTGGTGGTGGGGGTGAATTTCGATGGTGGGGTTAGGGGTTGGTTTCGGTGGTGGTGTGGGGTTTCTGTGGTGGGGTTGGGGCTGGGGCTGGGGTTGGGTGTTAGGATTTGGTATTGGGTGATGTTTTTGGGTGGTCAGTAGGGTTGGGTGGTCAGCGGGGCTTGGTGGTGGAGTTTAGGTGATGAATTTTTGGTATAATAATAAACAATTTTTTTTTTTATAATTTTTAAATATAAATGATTATCAAATATATTTTATATTTTTAATTTTTATCACAAAAAATAAAAAAAATAAAAACGTTATTAGACGTCCTCTAAATAATTTTGTTTTTGTATTATTTTATTATGATAGACATCTGTATTAAACTCTTATCAAACCCTTTGATTCCTTGTACCAGTCACTTCCACATCGTTTCCTTGAATTGATGACACCTTCGGTCTTTTCAGGTAACAGTAGAGTGGTCAATAAGCAAATGACTAATTTCATTACGTATTTAATACTTAATACACTGAAAGCAACAAGGGAAAAGTATTCATTGCAAAAGTCTACTAGTGCTTGTGGGGAAGTCTTCTTTTGCTAATATCTTTAATGGTGACTTATACTTTCACCTTCGTCTGAGTCATTTTTTCTGGATTATCTTTCAAACTATGAAGTTTTTTTATATTTCATGTTCAATTATAGATATAGACTTCACATTGTTATTTACCACATTTCACTTGTAACTGTAGTTAATGGTTTTATGTTCTACACACAGACATTTTAGTCCTAAAGCATAACAAATTTTTCGTTTTGAAGTCACGTGAAGCTTGAGAAAATATTCATTACAACGGTGATACCATGTGATAATATTAATCTGTATTAAAGTAGGGTTCACCTTGTCCGCTTGGTATTTTATTATTAGTTGATGATACCATATAGTATTGCTGATATGATATTATCGTTGTATTCAATATTTACTTGTCAAACTTATTCAAGAATTGAGAAGGACAATACGGCAAACTCAATATTGAGAGATAAAGTGAGACTAGAATTACAATTTCAAGGTTAAATTACAATATACCCTAATTTTTATTAAACTAAGCAATGCTAAAAACAAGAAGGAATTTTAGAACAACAAAAAAAGTGGAGATACAATACCCATTATCACCGCGTATTACTATTCAAGTCTAACCATTTTCAAGCATAATTTGCCACTAAGGTCTGTACAACTAATACAGATTTAGAACTTTCACACGACTCAATTATCAGGAGGCCTCCAATAAAAACAAGGCCACTCTACAGGCTACACACCCACCACCTCTTCTGCCATTCTATACTGCCACAATTCATCCATGTCCCAGAAAGTAGGTCCCATGTCACCATTGACCCAATCACTTATATGCCTTTCTGAAAATGAAAAATCACCAGACCCTTGTGTTGAAATTACTGAATTGTTGAAACACTCCATGTCAAAGTTGCTGATGTCCACTTGGTAATAATCATCTAGAACTGAGTTGCTGTAACCGGTATTTCCAAAGGACTGTGCTGGAGGACTTTCTGGGTTCTTCAAAATATCAAACACCTGTGATTTTTGTGTGGAATCTGATGAATAAGAGCTTGGAAAGGACTTTTCATTGATAGGAGTTTGGTTGGATAGTTGAGAAGGAATTGTGAGGTTTTGGGTTTCCATGGTTGAGATGGAAGAAGAAGAAGATGATGATGATGAAGCTTGCGCCATTTTTTCAAGCAATCTGGGCATCCAAAAACACCTAATTGCTTCAAGAAACTTGTGGCTGTTAGAATCAATCTTAAGTTGGCGTGCCTGTTTTTGAACCCTTGTTCTCCAGTAGTTCTTTATTTCATTGTCTGTTCTTCCCGGAAGATGCTGTGCAATTTTGGACCACCTGGAATCAAAATCAAGTTGTAATGATCAATTGATACATATACAGGCCGGGATGGTCTAGTGGAACACTGACCGAACTTTTTATCCTGAAATTAGAGGTTCGAGTCTTGAAGTCCACATTAAAATTCGATAGTAGACCGTTATTCTATCTTAATTAGGTTTGTTCTTAAAAAGAGTAATGGGCGGGGTCAAGAGTCTTGTAATCTCATTAGTGATGGCTTATTGGGTAGTTTTTGTGCACTTTCTTTTACCTCCCACCCCTTTTTTCAATAGCCAAAAAAAAACATATACAACCACACCACCACCGTTACTACTTTGTAATTGGTTCATCGAAAAAACAGTCTCTCCTTATGCGAGACAATCTAGTGGGAATAAGATTGGATGGAAGTGTTGTGCACTAGACCCGACCCTCACTTTGTTTTTTCACTGTTGAAAGTAAAATCTATCTAAAATTCTCAATCAAAACTTATGTAATCAGATAATCACCTGTTTCCCCACTTGGAATGGAGTTCAAGAATCAAGAGCTGTTCTTTTGGGGTAAGGTTCCCTCTCTTAATGTCCGGTTTCAAATAATTTAGCCATCGGAGTCTGCAACTTTTCCCTGTTCTTCTTAATCCTGCAATAGTAAAAGAACGAGAAGATGAAGCGAAGAAGAGAGTCAAAGGGAGACGATGAACACTTGAAAATGTCACCACCTATTCAAGTAATAATTAACGAGGAATAAGGTACGGTCACATAGACCTATTTACTCGTATTTACAACCACTAAACTTAAGAATTAGTAGCAGCCAGAGATCCACGATGTTTAAATTTATGACATGTGTTGAAATTTACTCGACACCATTGGATTACCCGTACGGATTTAAAACAGACTTTTACCTGCACATTTAGCTAACAAGTTCCAGCGGCCTTCTCCATGGAAAGTGATGTAATGTGTTAAGAGCTTGTCTTCCTCAAGTGTCCATGGCCCTCTTCTAAGTTCAAATTCTTCATTACTCCTGGCTATGGTCTTATTGGAAATAGCTCTTCTCATTGAAAAAAAAAAAGAAAGGAAGATGGGTGAGGAGAGAGAAAACTCTGGGTAAGCTGTTTTTCTTTTGGGTCTGAGCTGAGGTATGAAAGAGAATCTTAAGGCAGTCAGAGATTTATAGACCCCAGCATGGTTCAATATAAAGCTAGAATTCAAAAAAAAAGAAATTGGAAAAGTAGAACCCAACTAGAGTTTCTTTGCAGGACCTTACTTTTTGGATACAACCCATGAGAAAAGTCAGCACGTGCAATGTACAATTGAATAAACACTAAAGCAATAATGCTCTTTGAATGAGCATCTAAGTCTACGGCAGACTTGCCAAGAATTTTTAGTAGCTCTTAACTAGGTTCACACGTGTCCTATAATATCGGGTTCGTGCATGTCTTGTGTAATTTGTGCATAATATATATATAAATTAATTATATCATATATTTTTTTTAATTAATTTTACCTATATTTATTTTATTTATTAATCATGTCGTGTTAAATTTATTCTTTTATGAAGTGGATGATTTAAAAAAAACTCAAACTCCTTAACTTTATATCATGCTAACGAATTGTATAAAATTATACCGTCTTGTGTGTAAAAGAACATCGTTTCGAAGGAGCTGTGTGTAAAACTCTGGTGTACATCATAGGAGCTGTGTCCCTTGGTCATGGCCCAGACCAATTGATAAATAAATAAAAAAATAGAAACTTTCGGTACGTGAATTGACAAAATGACACGTCATAATTTAAAAACTTACCCATAGTGTTTTTATTGTTCTAGAAGAAATTGAAACTTATAACTCTCTGTAAAAAAAGTAATTAATTGTCAAAGGTCCAAAGTCAATTTAAGTAATAATAATAGGATGTCACAATGATTTTCAAAACTTGATACATATTATATATTCGGTTGTTCTCTTACTAAGATAAAATCAATCTCTTCCCTCTCCTTCCTTTCCATGGCTTAAGTAGATTTCTTATAAACATACCACGTATTGTTTTTAATATAAAATTAGAGAATTATCTATAAGTTTCTATCGTATATAAAGACAAAACGGTCCGAAAAAAATGCATAGGGAAGTAGAAACTAAAAACTAGAAGGCGTTAGTCTCATTTGCCATGATATCTATATATATATTATTAAAATAGAGCGTCTTGCTTAGGCTACTTAAATTAGAAAAATACAAAAAACGGTTGCTTTGATCGTTTAGATAATCAAATTTATAATATTATTTGTATTTTAACTTTTTAACAGCAATAACGCTTTCTATTTTATATTTAACGTTTTAATCATAGTAGATAGTTTCATCATTCACTTATGTTTTAACCATACAAAAAAAAGAGTGTTTTGCATGGGTCCACCCAAATCTAGCCAAATTGCACCAAATTACAACCTGCACCTCAACAAAGCGATGACTCATATAGAGTAATGCTATATTGACTTAGAAAACAAATTTAAAAAATTGATTTAATGATGTGAATGTTATATTTGTCATTGAGTTAACTGTAGGTCCCAGTAAAATATTATGATCCACTACCTATTCAATAGTAATAATTCATCAAGTCAAGTTTTTAAGTAAGTTTTTCAAATCTATTTAGCAGTGTAATGGGGGAAAATAAAATCAGAATCTCATTTAACATATTTTTGGTGGATTGATGGAAGGAAAAGAACTAAGCAAGGCCAAGATAAAAGTGAGTCAATAAAAAACATGGTCTTTGAAAATGATTTTGGATGTTTTTCCTAGGGGGGATGGTTCCATCTTTGTTCTTGTCTTTATAGATTCTTAAAGTGAAAAACGTGCTTCACTTGATAACAAAGTTTATGGTACACAAAGATTATTACAATATAAACGTGGGATTAGTGGGTTGGATTTGCATGACAGCAAACATGAACATATAGGTAAGTTTTCAGAATTAAACTATTGGCAATGTTTGTTAAAAACAATGATGTCTGCCACACCCATAACATTGTTTTTCCCCCCATGTTCTTCTTGTTCTTTCCAAAGCCAATTGTAAATTTGAGTGTAAGATTCAAAAAGGGTCATAGAGAAGCATGCTCACTTTAATTTTAGAGCAATGTTGTACAGATTTTTGGGAATGATTTAATTCATTGCAACCATTAAATTAATTGCGAATTTTAAAATTAGTTGTAACTCACTTTCAATTCAACAACTTACAATTGATTTAGTTTGTATATTAAGTCTCCAAATTAAATTCAAATAACATTTTCTTTAATTTTCTTCTAAGAAATGACCCCATTAATAGAACTCGAGGGGATGGAGACGAGTTGTTCCAACAATTCGATCCACGTTGACATGTGCTGAATCCCACAACAAAAGTAGGAATACCAAATCATAGATATATGAGTAGGAACAATCACCCCAAATTACAATCCTCTTGGCTAGCACTTTTGAGTTAGTTCCCGTGGACCGTGGTTACTACATTTGGTGTGCAACTCCTATGTATAAAACTGGGTTGTTTGTTTTTCTAATCAAACACACATAGAAATTATTATTAGATTGCAAACATAGCAATAATATCCTTTATCTTCAATTGGAAAAAAAAGTGTAGTGGGGGAGTGGTGGTGGTGGTGGTATGGGTCTAGGAAGTGAGAATGTGGACGGATTAAAAGGAGATATAATGAGAATCAATTCTTGATGGAAGAGTAGTAAGGTTTGCTTTCATGTAGATAGAGCTTATTCTTAAAGAAGGAAAAAGATTTCCATACTGCTGGTAACAACTCAACTTGCGGAGATGGATGCTTTGTTTTTTTTTTTTTTTTGTTTAAAAAAAAAGGGTGGAGACAAGGAAGAGAGTCCAGTGACCACTCCGTTAGGCCCTCATCCGTTGGATCAGGAGGTCCCTGACTGCGCATAGAACACCTCTCGGGATCATACCTAACTAGGCTAGCAGTCAACCACCAAGTCCTAATGGGGACTCTAGAACTCAAACTCTTAACCTCTGGGTGAGGAATAAGGCCGGTACCACCGTTAGATCACCCTACTCGTTGGTGGATGCTTTGTCTTTTTTCTAGTTTTGGTTATAGAATTTTGGATGTATTTATGTAACCTGGACGAGAAAAAGAAAAAGTATGAGGAATTCTCAACACATTCATAAAACTCTTAAGGGTGATCTAGTGATCAAGTTTGCCCTTTTGCTTGCAAAAAATCTCAGGTTCGATACTTCCCACACCCCTTAAAGGTTAGTCATTCTTATTCTTCAGGGGACATGTATTTAAATTACCTCGAGTTACGATAATCAACTCAAAACTCGAAAAAGTAGTTGACGTAAATCTGAATAGTCTGTTACCAAAAAAAATAAAAATACATTCATACAATAATTATTAGTCTAGGAATTAGGATAACTGGCACATCACAACAATCTGCACATGAATTTGTTCCAAGTGTGTTCTAAGGTAGGGGACTGACTATGGATTGAATCAAAGAGCTCCAGTTGGAGAAAGAGATAATGATAATGATGTTAATGTATGCATGTGAGGTTTGGTTTTCAAGAAGGGCCATGGTTCAAAGAATTGGTCGAGTTTGATCTGACTCAACAGATTTTAATACAATTTGGATAAGTAGTATTTTAGTCGGTACTTTTTATTCTGAAATTATTTTCGTGTAAATCATTAGTATCACTAGACTTGTGATTGACGCCAAGACACTTCTGTTGGCTCAGTCGAGTCATTTGAGTCAACGTAAATCAACTTGTAAGATATTGTCCGTTACCGATCCATGAAACCACGATAACTTCTCACCATGGCTAACTTATTATTATATCATTTAGTTGATATAGTTCTGTGACATCATGACCAATGTATCTTAGTCTACTCTGAATCGATGATGAATACCACGACCTTGAAACATGTGAAAGTGCATATATAATTTGAACATTAAGACAAAATTGGATGTAATTAGTCATGCAACCATGACATGATTGATAAAAAATATTGGAAACAATAGCATATTTTAGGCTGGCTGAACATCAGCTTGAACAACATTTATCCAATTCCTTAGCTGTAGTACAGCACATGATTCCTCAAAGGACTTCTTTCATGCCTTTGATGGACTGACAATAAGCAGAATAATCCACACTTTTCATGGTAGGGAACAAATTCTGAAGTTATTGCAGACATAATTAACAATGATTTCTAATTGAAATTGGTATCAGAAATTGAAATGTTTGTCTTGCATACATTTTCCATTCAAGATTTCACTGAAAACTTCTCACATAAAATATTTTCAAAACGTTTCCAAAGCTGAGGAAGTATCCAAAGAACTCGAATTGTCCTCATGCTTTCAAAAAAAAAAAAAAATACATGGGAACATCTATTGATTATATACAGAAAAGTCTAGGACCAACTTTCGAAAACACATTTCCAAATTATCATTTTTTTTCTGAATTGGAGAGGAGTAGATGAGAATTGCTTCATGAAGCATGAAAAACAGCCTTGGTATTTCCTAGTATGGTGGAATAACATTGAGCGAGTGGGTAAGAACTCATATTTTCTCGCTCAATGCTTGGCTTCGAGTTTTCATAACTACGACGGTTAGTTGAGGCTAAACCTACTCTTCAGCACCTAGAGCACGTAGTAGAACCTTAGCTTCAACCTTGAAGTAGGTGCGATGGGGGTCTCCTACAAATATCTTTGTGAGGTTGAAGGGCAATACTCTCTGACAGATATGTGGAGTGATCTATCTACATATCTATCTTTTGAACTAAAAAAAAATAAGACAAAAAACAGGGACAATTACGTTTTGGTTGGAGTAAATTAGCTGTGTGTATTACATAGGTTTACTACCCATGACAATTATTTTATATTCTTTTTTTTTTATGAAGCATCAAATTGCTATAAGTATGTTTCTATAAGAGAAGGCTTTAATACCTTTTAGCATCCACCTCACAGATATGTCAATAATCTCTCGTAATTTTTGGCAATAGATTCAAAGAACATATCATAAAATTCATAAAAGAGTTCAGAAGTTAGATGTTACAAAGTAATTAGTTAAGGGTTTAGGGTTTAGGGTTTATGGCTTATCTTGACATTCAGATGAATGTAACAAAAGTTTCCAAAATAAAAGCCCTTTTCGGCACCATAATCTACTCTTTTGTCTAACCATGCCCTCATTTGTGGCACACAAGATTCGAAAAGGCATTAAATGAAAGTCTAACATTCACACACATACTTCATCAATCAATGCGGGATTGGATCACCACAATATTATCGAAGATAACTTTGGATCCACTGTAGCAGTGTTATTGCGAACTTTGTTTGTCCAATCCCAGGTTTTGAAAAAAAAAACGAATTGTTGAATCAAGTAGCTAGGTAGTGCTTGCTAACACAGTAGGAGGGCATGGATGGAGGATATATTAAGCCAATCTTTGATTGTAAATTAACTGAATTCGTTAGTTCTGAGTCTTCCTTTTGCAAGTCAGAGAGAGATGTCTAATGGACAAAGAAAATCTAAGTGTAAACCAGTTTCAATTTTGCCTCGGCAAGAAATACACCTTTTTTTTTTTTTTTTTGATTCGACTGTCAAGAATGTCTAGATCAGTTTGCGCAAATTTCAACTAATCCTCTCTCTAGTCCGGCCAAAGACAAATCATCTATGCTAGACTAGGGTATTTATGAGGAATCAATATCTCATGACTTAGTCCCCAGATGTTGTTAAGATTCAAACTCAGAACGTCTAAATTTATAACTCGTTTCTGTTTCCACTTGAATTACTCTTAAAATTTTAAGAAACACAATTACAAGAATTTGTCAACCTCTTTTGAAATTATGGGTTGGGCCTAGACCAGACTGGTCCATGGCCAATATTTCAGACCCAGAGAACCATAAACTGTTGGGCCAAGTCTTTTGGCCCAGTGTCATGACATGGACTGGATTTTCTTTTGCATGGATTTTTCTAAGTTGGGTGAGCCATCCATTCCCTGCACACCCCTAAACAGTTACCTTGCTCCGTTTCACTTTTGTTTTGTGGAAGTAATTACCCATCAATATTCAATACTATTGCTTAGACTTTGTTTACCGATTTATAATATATTATTGTCGTTGAATTAGCAATAGACCTCAATTAATATTCAAATTCAAATTCGAATCCGTTATACCGTATTTTATATATTCAGATTTGGCTTTGTTAATATCCAATTTATTTATAATTCTATCAGAATTTTCATACAAACATATGTGTATATATTAGTAAATTCAGTGATTATTTTTAAAATAGTGTTAAAAATCTTGGTGTAATTAATTCTAATTAAATCAAATATTCAAATAACGGATTCGAAATTGAATTAATCAAAATCGTATTTTGTAAGTCTTTAAGATCCCTAAGTTTCCCCATATTTAAACGCCATTGTGCATGTGCGGGGTTGCGTGTAGTGTACCCCTTATCGAAATATTTGAATTGATGATCCTAAGCAATCAACACCAATGATTTTCAACTCTTCTCTTTTCTTCTAAGCAACTTTAAGCATTGATCGTTAAAGGTATTAAGTTCAATAGGCGGGCCCCCTTATCTATTCGAAAATATTCAATGTAAGTGTTTAATTATGATATCACGTTATTATTATCACGTGTTATTATTATTCATTTTTTTTTCGTTTAACGATTATTAGTGTGTAAGTTAACTTAACAATCCCTTCATATTAGTGACAGAGAGAGGTAGGGGCGAGGAGGGGCTTGGGCCCACCCTTTTTTTTGTTTATTTATTTATTTATATATATATATATATATATATATTTTTTTTTTGAATGATTTTAATTGGGTCCACCTTATATAGTTAGATAATGTAAAATTGATTTAGTGAAAGAAGTTGGGTACAGGATATTAGAAAAATAAAAATAAAAATAGGGCTCAATTCCATAACAAATCTCTTGAAGTCAATTAACTAAAAAAAAATTTGTTTGTCACAAAAATCCTTGGTCGACTCCTTTGTTTGTCATTTTCTTTCCAAAGACAAACAAAATTATAATTAACCTCTTTTTAGTTATATTTTATTTGCTTTTTAATATATATGTTAGCTTTAGATCCTTTTATGTTTAATGAATCTTTAAATATCCTTTTTATGTTTCATTTTCTTTAATGAATCTTTTATGTTAAAGTGTGTCTATTCTAAATCATATTCCTAACTCTACCACTCTGTTAGATAATAACTTTCCCATTTAAATAATTGGGGTTCACCTTATTTAATCGTAAATTTTTTATTAGATAATGATATTACATAATACTGATGACATGGTACAACTGTTACATTCAATATTTATTTGCTTATTTAAGTAGGGTTTTGTTAACCATGGTAAATAATTTTTAGTTGTCAAAATTAATTGGGCAGTGTTACTTAGAACTAATTTGCTGACTTAATCACTCTAAGGTAATGGATAGTGACTCCACTATTGATTAAAATTTATTATTAATGCAATGACTATGACAGATTAGGTCAGTTAAGAAGGTTTAAATAATATTTTTAAAATTAATTAACAATCTTTTTTTTTTTAGGTTACAGGTCATTAATTGGGGAGTAAAACCATGGAAATACCTCTAGTGTATGTTTGGTTCGATTATCTTTTTATTTCTTGTTTGAAATGGTTTTCTGTTTATTACCATAAGAATCATTAATTAGTCCCAAAAATTTAAAAAAACCACTAATTTTTGCCCTACAAAATTTTGAGATATTTTCAATTTCGGTTCCCTTAGATTTGTAAACTAACATATTACCCTCTAAGGTTTTAGAAATTATAACGTACTAACTTCAACAAAGTAAACGAAATCTCATTGAAACGATTCAAATCACATAACCATTGAAAATCTGATTTCTTATATTCTTTTTTTTTTTTTTTTGAATTTCTAGTCACTCAAACACAAAACAGGGGGTCCTAACCACAGATCAAGCTTACTGCCCTGTATACTTTGTAGAAAGAGTAATGTTATATGAATTTAAAAAGTAGATTTGATAATCACAATCATTAAATAAATAGTAAATTTTTATAAATACTAGAACTCATAGTAAAATCAATAATTATAATTATTAAATCTATTTTTTAAGTTCACATAACATTATTCTTACAATAACCATATAGCATTATTTATCAAAAAAAAAACATGAAGTATTGTTCTTACAATAAGTGAGAGCAGGTAAAAAGTAAGCTCAGAGAAGATGTTTGACAAAGATAGATTTTGAATTAGGGAGAATTACATTCAAATTTTTTTGAAGATCGTCATTTAATCGCTTAAATTTTTTGACAATTGAAATATTACACACAGATTTTCTAAGGTTTGTATGCGTATAACATTTAGACCCCTGAAGTTTATGGGTATATAATATTAGACCCTTTAAATTTAAAATATTATACTTAGATAAAAAATACTCCGATCAAATATAAAATATTTTAAATTTTTAACCAAAATTCATGTTCTATTATATCATTTATTGAAATAAAATTAAAAATAAAATTTAATTTTTTCATAAAAAATTATAATTATATATAATTATATTATTTATTAGAATTTAATTTAGTCGTTTAAATGACCAAATTAAAATACTAAACTATCCCAATTAAATCTAAAATATATTGTGTCAATTACTGTTTGATTTCTTGTTTAATTTTTTAGTTTTGTTCTATTAGACAATATAAATATATACTAACTATGTTTTTTTTTAAAAAAAATAAATTTTTATTTTTGAATTTATTTTAATAAATAACATAATAGAACATGAATTTTGAATGTAAAATTCATGTTTTATTATGAATGACTTAGACCCATTGTTTGATTTTTTTAGTTTTATTCCAATAGATAGTATAATTGTATACTAATTATGATTTTTTTGAAGAAAAAATTAAATTTTTATTTTTAATTTTATTTCAATAAATGATACAATATAACATAAATTTTAGTTATAAAATTTAAAATATTTGATATTTGATATTTGATTGAACTCATGAGTCTGAGTGATTAAGTGACAAATCTCAGAGGATCTGAGTGTAATTCTCCATTTGAATTATGAAACTTCACTCCCAATGCTACAGTACTCGTGGTATTGAAAATTATAATTTTTTAAAATTAAAATGTAATTTTAAAAATATAAGTTATAATTTATGAATGACATAATTAATTCTAAAATATTACGGTGAATCTTAAAAATTAAACCTGGCAATCAAACAATTACAACTGTTCAAGAAACTTTTATGATCAATTTGCAATTCTTTTTTCAACCCGAATTAAACGTAGTAATTTTTGGATAAGAAGTAAACTTTGGTCTCTTTCTTGTTTCAAAAGCGATTGACATTTGCAAATAACAGTTGAAAGATCGACTTTTAACAACCCAAACGTTCGCAAAACAGAATCTGCAATAAATATTATATTGGTCGGTAAGTAAAGTAGGTGGCAAAAGAAGTATCCAAAATAAAAAAAAATTCATTAGAATATGTATCGAAAAAGTTAGTAAAATATAAAATTTTGTTAGAGATGCCGTCTTAAACCGAGAAAAACTTTGTATTTAGGCTATGTGACTGGACTGGTTGAAGCTGAAAGTTCTTGGAAAGCACAGAAATGGCAGCTGAGTCAGGGAAGAAGGTTATGGTGGCCATAGATGAGAGTGAGGCAAGCTACTATGCACTCAATTGGGTGCTTGAAAATCTTAAAGAATCAATCAACCATTCGGGTAATCCTTTGGTTATCTTCATGGCCCAGCCACGTCCCAACTACACTAACGTCTTTGCCGCCCCTCTTGGCTCTGCTCGCATGTACTGCAACGTCTCTGCCAGTTAAGCCCCCCCCTTCTCTCTCTCCTTATATGACTCGTGGGTTTTATGATATGGGTTTTTTTCTTGTTTATGTGTAGCTTAATCTTCAAACGTAAATGGGTTTCAATTCTTGCAGATATGTTATGTTTTCCCTGCAGTACTTGGGTTCGATTATATGGTTTTTGCTGTTGTATTTGTGGAAGGGTACTTGGTTTTATCTCTGTCACACACACACACAAAGTGTTCTAATGTTTTGTTTTTCTTCGTCGTTGGTTGATTGTGATGACCTTAGGAGTTCTACAAGTATATAAATTTTATTGGGTATTGAGAATTATACTTACAAACTGCAAATTTTTGAATGACAGCACCGGAATTTGTTAACTCTGTCCAAGAACGAAATCGCTTGGTTTCAATGGGTATCTTGGAGAAAGCAAAGGGTATCTGTACCAGTAATGGGGTATATTGCTACTTGATTTGATTTAATTCATTCACTGCTATGCTGTCCAATTATCAGGTTTTCGGAGCCCTCTTGAAAAAGATTGCATGGTCCTTTCTGCTTTATCTTCTATGTTTTTTTTTTGCTCTTTTTCCGTCTCTTTTGATTTTTTCTTCAGCATAATAACATCCATTAGACTTATTGCCAAATTCTGGTATTTTTCAAGTGCTTATGATCAATTCTCTTCTCTTACCATGATTTTCTTTTGCATTGGCCTTCAGCGAATGGCTTACATAATGCTTCGTACTACACTATGATCTAATTTTTTCTTTTCTCTATGCAAATTTCAGTTCTAGTTGTCACTGAATCTATTCAAAATAAAAATTATTCAAAATAAAGATATCTAGGGTGAAATTATCAAAACAGAGTAGGTCAGGGGAAATTATGATCCTACATGTGTTGGAACAGCTACAGATGGATGATTTAGAGGTGATGTTATAATCTGTTGTTCATTTCCCTGATCTTTGTAAAAAAAAAACAGAGTTGGGTGTTCATGTGGTGGGGGTAGGGTATGCTTATGACTACTTCCTACTCAATTTGACAAAATGCTTCTAATCCAGGAAAATAAGACCAGATTTTAAATGTTAATTAAGACTTTCATCACCGACCAGTTGTGGAAATGCAGAGGAAAATGAGAGTGAACTCCTAAAAACCATTGAACTATACCTAATTACAAAATAAAAAGTCATATTTTTGATTATGACCTTTCATATATATATATATATAGACTCACAAATTTTCCATTCAAAGGATATGAAGTATATTAGTGTTGTTTTCACCTTTCTCTTACCCCATCAATTTCTATTCCTGTAGTTAGGTGTTATTGAAATTTTAGCAGCCTTTGACAGTGGGCCTATTTTCTATCCTCTATTCAGTTTTACACCTAGAAGCTTCTCAATTACATCATAGGGAACAGACTACTATGTATAGACAGGGCGCTGGTTAATTACTTGTAAGAATACTGATTTATGTTGCAAAATAGAACATGAGAGCAGGATAACTCGAACAATCTGAGTTCTTGCAATCATTTTTTATGTCAGTTATCAATTTTATGCTAGTTTGAATTTATGTGACAAAGGACTTCCGCATTCTTCCAGTGCCTTGCCTTTGTTTTTTGTCATTTTTCAAATCAAAATTCTATGTGTAACAAAGAACGGTGGCATCTTCCAATGAGCTGGTACTAAAAACAACTTGTCCCACTTACTTTTTAGAGGTGGTTTCTAGCTCTTTGATGAATCGGAAGACAAAAAGACCTTTCTTGTTGCCTACCTGCCACTAATTTGTTACTTGAGACAAAAATTCAGTTTTGGCTGATGGAAGTGCTGGAACATTCACATGTCATTTGAATTTAGTTCTTTCCTATTTGCATAGTATTGGTCATCCCTTGTGTAGTCTATTTACAGTTTGTAATGAAAAAGGTACAAAACTTGTCCCATTACTCAGTGACGTGAACAATTCAATCAAATGGAGCTGGTTTGTCCCTGATCAGCATATCATCACAATGTTTCCCTCATTTTTCTGGTCCAGAATATGTTTAAACTAGGGGTAACTTGTGCTTGAAGACACAGTGCAATGTGATTGGTTTTGAGTGGGATGTTGGCAGCCATTGGATAAGTCTATTTGAGACCGTCGGATGGNGTCCAGAATATGTTTAAACTAGGGGTAACTTGTGCTTGAAGACACAGTGCAATGTGAATGGTTTTGAGTGGGATGTTGGCAGCCATTGGATAAGTCTATTTGAGACCGTCGGATGAACTTATTGAAGCCTGCCTAGTTTTAGATTATAGATAGTCCTCCTACTCATACTGCATATGTTGAAGGAAAATTGAACAAAATAATCTTGGTCAGTGCATTTTTTTCCCGGCTAAATTCATATATGCAGTTGTATACACTTAGTCTGCCACATCCATGTAATACGCGGAGAAATGGTGCTCATGCCTTTATCTGCACAGGTAACTGCAGAGACAATTACAATGATTGGGGATGCTAAGGGAGCCATATGTGATGCAGTACAGACGTACAAAATTAATCTCCTTGTTTTAGGTGATTGTGGCCTCGGGAAAATCAAGAGGTCAGTTTTCTATTTTCTGATAACCGTAATCTTGTGTTATCTTTGCATCTGCAAATTTTTATTCGCTGCTGTGGAATTCCATTGAGAATCAGCTTTGAAATTTTTATGCAGAATCCATATGACATACATTGTAAAAGCTGATGTCGTGGATAGTTCTGTGACTTCTGGGATATATCTTGCAAACTTCTTCTTATGATTTCAACATGCTTGGTATAAAACATGATATATTGAAAATTACTAAGTCAATGGTGGTTACAGTCCCATTACTCCGTGGCCAGAGGGGTTACATCAATTTCCATAAAGAACAAAAAAGTTTGTAGTGGCTAGTTTTTTTTTTGGAGGGTTATTTTTAGGATACCTAGCATCTGCCATTTGCTGTTTTCTCTTTGACTTGCCCATTCCTTCATTGACAAATCTGTCACAGTGAGGAAACTTTCCAATGGGTCGTAAATTTGATCTTAATAGAGCTGTCAAATGCTGTCAGATGAGTATATAGCAGTAAAGGTTACCTTTCATTTCTTTTTGATGTGTATAGTTATTTAGATAAAGCAATTGTAAGCGTCAGATTATTCTAAATATAGGAATCTTGTGATGGGTCTTTGATTGGTGTGTGAGTTTTTCTATGTTTGTGATCCTTCATGAGATAGTTCTAAGATAAACATGTTAATACCCCATACTTGTAAAGAGTTTATTGCTTACCCCTGCCTATCACTTACTTGATGTCTTTTACGAGTGATTTATTTGGTCAACATTTATTGCACTCCAGTAACTCCTATCTTTTCTGTTGGAAACTGAAGAAACAAAATACTCGAGATATTTTGCTAAACCTTGCAGTCCAACATATGTGTTGTAATATATTTTAATTTTCCATACAGGGCTCTTCTAGGGAGTGTGAGCAACTATTGTGTTCATAACGCTAGCTGCCCCGTGCTTGTTGTGAAGAAACCAGAATAAAAGTAACTTTACTAGAACTTGGATGTACATATGGTAGTGTGTTCTCTTGTAATTTTTAGATGACTATTTGAAGATTGGAGAAAAGGATGTATAGTTTGCTGTGAGACATAAGATATATTGTGTTTATCAACTTCATTGTCACTTCCTTCTATGTTTTGTAAAGTGCAGTGATGCCTAAGTTTGGTTTGTATTTGCTTACAATCGAACCTTTGTAAGACAATATATGTGTGATACCATTTGAAAGAAATCCATGTAACCATTTGACCCTGTATACCACAAACATAGCAGTACATCATCCAAATACATNTGAGACATAAGATATATTGTGTTTATCAACTTCATTGTCACTTCCTTCTATGTTTTGTAAAGTGCAGTGATGCCTAAGTTTGGTTTGTATTTGCTTACAATCGAACCTTTGTAAGACAATATATGTGTGATACCATTTGAAAGAAATCCATGCAACCATTTGACCCTGTATACCACAAACATAGCAGTACATCATCCAAATACAGGATTAAGTGTGGCTGCCAACCGAACTCAACCTTGAGCTAACCGCATATTGACAATTGGTAAACGGAACAGGAAGTAGTCATCTGCAAAACAATTTCTCAGATTATACCCTACTCTGAAAAACAACACCACATTTAATTATCTTTGTTAGAAAGAAAAGCATGTATGACTTACCTTTTAGTACCGAACCTTCACTCACACCTTTATATGCCCAATCACAGGCTGCTTTTATACTTTCAGTTGCATATCTGCAAGAAGTCCATAAACTTCATTTAACTGTGTGTATGTGTGTTTGTGTGCGCAATGGGTGCACACCATTGTTCGGGCTGAAGTTGCCTCAAGGACTTAAACTAAGAGGCTGCCATGTTTCTGTCCTAGGAGATGTCTAAACTACTTTGGAATAGTTGATTGTTGAAGGAATGAACTTGGCCTATGTCTGTATCATGGGTTTTTTTCCCAATTACTGAATAGTAGAACTTACATGTCTGGGCAGGCTGTCTTGTTACGGCTGCAGGTCTCCCATGTCTTAACTTGATCTGCCCAAGCAGTCTGTCAAGGGAGGAGAATACATTATGACAAATGAAGGGAAAGCAACAACCTTTTAAAGACTTCTAAGTCTAATTTAGGTATAGGACAACTGCAGAATGCAGAGTTATATACCGTAATGTTCTTCTGAATTGTGTTGATCAGTCCTTCTGTGTTAGAATCATATGACCTTTCTTCTGAAGTCTCAATTATGCTATCATCCCATACCTGTATGCTTTCACATAAGATTAGAGTTTTGTGTAAAAACAGATTGTGGTAAACACGGTTTCAGATTGCTCCAGAAACTTACATGATGGAGAACTGCTTTTCGCATGAACCAGTGAACGTTGATTGTATTGCCTCCTTTGTCAGATGTGAATCCTACATGTAGCGGCTGCCATGGACCAGTTTGCAGGTATTTAGATGTTTAAACTACATTAGACTTGCAGATACAACCATAAATACATCCGCATATGTAAATGTCATCCAATAAGTTGTGGTTTCGATTAGCATACCTGATGAATGTCCCCCATTAAATGAGAAAGGAAGAGAAGTGCTTTTGTGAGATTATCTGATGATTACCCAGTTCATTGAAAAAACTTTGGTTATTGAAGTTCGAAAATTGGGCAATCAATCAATAAATCTATTCAAAAGCAGTGCCTTATGGCAGAGTAAAGGGTGATTTTCTTTGGAAAAATGATTATAAATGATTGACCCAAAGAAGAGGAGAAAAGGAGAAGGTAGTGAGGTTTGATTGAAGGGTTTACGCTGAGAAGCAGCATTGCCATAGCTGAGGAGCTGGCTAGTGTAATTGTTGATTGCCCCTGCTACAGCTGTCCTTCACTCCNAAAGGGTTCAACATAAGCTCTATTAAATATGACTTATACATGACACAAACTCAACACTACACAAATACGACAATACACAAATTATGCATGGGTTGGGTATGCGTTAAGCGGCCTTAATCATCATCATTCATTGGACTGCAGATTTCTCCATCTTTAGCACTCAAGTTGAGAATGATTTGTGCAGGATTAAACTTCTAAACACACCCAAAAATCTCCTAATAACCAGACATGTTTAGAATTACTATTCTGGATTAAAAGGTTAAGGAACTCACTGCTGTACAGGTAGGTGCAGAGATTATCAGGGGTATCAATGTAATGAAGAGCTGATGACCAACGATACCGGAACTTGACCTGGTCTGCCCATGAACAAACACTTCCCAGATCTTTATCAGCAGATTCTGGTAAAAGTTGCTTCACAGCATCTGCTGCAGCTTCACTCAACCGTGCCTGTGAAAACACACACACAAAGACAAATATATCAACTCACTACACATAAAAGAGTGTGTATTTACACACAGTGGAGATTAGTTAAGACCCTTGCCTGGGCAATCTTACAAACGGTGAGATGGCTNATAAAAGAGTGTGTATTTACACACAGTGGAGATTAGTTAAGACCCTTGCCTGGGCAATCTTACAAACGGTGAGATGGCTATCAACACCCCAGCAATGAGCAACTGGACAGAGAAACAAGAAGGAAACAAGAGCTAGTGTATGAACTCTACAAAACTCCATTTCTGCTTCTCTCTCCAGCAAAAAAAATAAAAACTGGTGGGCTAAAGGTGCCTACTTTATATCACATTGTCCAATATATATAGCTTGTAGCCATGAATGACCAAAAAAGAAGGTGCCCAAAACTTTTTATGTGATGGGTTGGGTGTGAACTGTATGAAGAAACCAATTTTGGACAGTTGTTTGTATTAATCTTCTTCAGATAGTGATAGTACTTGCCTGCTTGGTACCAGAAAAAAACTAACCAATATGATACAAAATGTATAATTTGAGTCTTAGATCTTTTAGTTTTTCACTGATTATGAAAATAATAAAATAAAATAATTTGACACGTGTGATGTTTTTGTTGGATGAAAAGGTGTCAAGTATGAAAAATAATTTTTTGGTATTATAGTCGGATCCATTTGATTAGTTGTTGACGTGTGCGCTCTCATTTTCAATAGCAGAGATTGGACGCATTGATGAATTTTTGTTCACAACTTGTTGTTTGACCTACCGTGAATTCGCAGAAATAACCTTAGGTGGTCCAATGANTATTATAGTCGGATCCATTTGATTAGTTGTTGACGTGTGCGCTCTCATTTTCAATAGCAGAGATTGGACGCATTGATGAATTTTTGTTCACACCTTGTTGTTTGACCTGCCGTGAATTGGCAGAAATAACCTAAGGTGGTGCAATGGGAAGCCTTGGATGAGAGGTGGCTGTTTGGTCATTTTTGGATAAAGTAGATAAGATTAAGATTAATGGTGTTTGGTTTATGGTACGTGCTTGCAAAGGAAAGGAACTTAAAAAAGATCAAAATCATCGAATGAAATGATGTCGAGATTGTAACGTTGATTTCATTCATAAGACTGAGGAATATACCAAAGACGGTGACATATTCTACGGGAGCGAAGTTAATTTCTGTTATTAATAGAGAGAGAATCGTAAGGTCTTTTGTTTTTGGTTCAACGGTTAGAAATTTTGGATCAATTTACATGCGCTTCGATTAATCTCCTATTCAATCCNTCAAAATCATCGAATGAAATGATGTCGAGATTGTAACGTTGATTTCATTCATAAGACGGAGGAATATACCAAAGACGGTGACATATTCTACGGGAGCGAAGTTAATTTCTGTTATTAATAGAGAGAGAATCCCAAGGTCTTTTGTTTTTGGTTCAACGGTTAGAAATTTTGGGTCAATTTACATGCGTTTCGATTAATCTCCTATTCAGTCAGGTCAAATGCAGGTCATCCACATCAGAATTAAGATATTCATGAAAGATAAATCTCTTGCGACTGAGTGGTCTAAAAAATTTGTCAAAATTCGAATTCAATACGTCTCGATTTACAACTCGTCTCTATTACCAATTGAACTATATCTTGAGTTAGTGTAATTTATTTCTGTCCTAAAGCTAATTTCTCCACTCGTAATTGACTTTCTTTTTGGTCAGGTATTAGAAAAAAGTTAAAAGAATAAAGTTAATATGAGAACAGAGATCATCTTGATATGTTTTGTCAAATATTTCTAACTTTTAAACTAGACCTTCAATTCTGAAAAAGAAAACAGTTTAATGGATGTGCCAGTTGCTTTCTTTGTCATCTTTGTCATGGCATGGGTAATGGTGGTGTCGGCAGTGGGTGTGGGATAATACTGTTCGAGGGTAGGTTAAGGCAGTGGGTTGTGATTAACTGGGACGGAGTTAGAATTTTATTTTAAGAATTTTATTTTAAGGGGATCAATAATAGTATAGAATATAGATAAATATTTAATTCAATAGAGTAATTTAATGGTTATTGTCAATGATAAATTTTTATTTATAAAGAAATTATTAAATTTAATTTTTATGCAATGGCATGAAAAAATTTATTTTTGAGCACAAAACTCAAAAGTGGTTTATGCCGTCATAAAAATTCATTTCTGATAATCTTCCCTTTGTTTTCTAGTTTATAATTTAACCTTGTGTCTATAAATAAATTATGGTCGCAAATAATATATATAATAAAGTAGTTTATAATTCAAATATCAAAAAATAAACAAAATGATTTTTGTTATTCGCGGTTAAGATCGCTTTAAATTTTACTTTAAAGTTAATCTAACGGCTAACATTAATACCCTAAATTTAATAGAAAAAATAGGCCATAAGAGTGTGTTTGAGATGACTTTTTAAAAATATTTTTAAAAATTATTTCTCATAAATACTTAAAAAAAAATAATATTTGAAACCGTCCCACCATTATCTCTACCACCGCCATCGTCGCTACCGTCGTCACCGCCACCGCCACCACTATCGCAGCTGTCACCACCATCACTACCACCGCCACCACCACCGTCACCACCACCACCGCTACTGCTACCGTCATCACCGTCTCCTACCACCACTATCGGCCACCTTTTCTCACCTTTATTATAAATCGATGCTTAAATTCATTTATCTCTTCTTTATTTTTGTGATTTGATTTTGGATATGAATACAAATATATTTATTGTTTACTATTTTTTTATTACTCTGTCTCTTCGGACATAGACAATAACTAATAGTTTTATATGATACCATAATAAAAATGAATTATAAGTGAACCAACTATTTTTTATATAAATCATATTTGTATAATTCAACAACAAAATAATTCAACAAGTGTCTTTATCAGTATAAACGACACTCATTCTTGTGATTACTTCCTAAATGGTTACTAAATATTAAGTCATCGATTTTTTTGAATATACTAAATGAAATATTTACACATTAGGTATTTTGAAAACTAGAGGTTAAAAATAAAACTAATATTATCAATTAGAATAATTTATGGTAGGGTAGAGAACCAAGTCCTCTATTCTAAACACCAACGACCTTACGCCCCTAATAATTGTGAGTTGAGACGTAGTAAACTTCTGAGTGAGAATCAGGGTANGTCCTCTATTCTAAACACCAACGACCTTACGCCCCTAATAATTGTGAGTTGAGACGTAGTAAACTTCTGAGTGAGAATCAGGGTACCCCATAGGCGGGGCATCGTGGCCAGCAAGAGACTCTGGCTACCCTTTTCCTAAACTTTTTATTGGCTTTTAAAATTATAAGGGGGATAATGAGAATTTTTACAGTTTGTTGGGGGAGGGGGGGAGGCCATGGCGCTCCTAGGCCTCCTCAAAATTTTGCCTTTGATGATTAGAGATATTAAAATATAATACAACTCATTAATACGATACAAAAAATAGAGATTTTGAGTCTTTTTTAAGTCACTTGTTTAAATAAACAAGTGATTGACACTTCAAGATTAATAAACAAATCTGGTCGGTATGAGTAAAATCAATTAAAAAAAACTAAACGACGCGACTTATTTATTTACTAGTTATACATGAGATGAACTCGATATGACATGATTCGTTAGACACAAATTAATAAATGAATCAAGTATATGTAAAATATTTTTTTATCATGCACTCGCTGCACCTATAATGATTGATATACGTAATTGTGATATTTGTAGTTGGTGTTGGANCTAGGCCTCCTCAAAATTTTGTCTTTGATGATTAGAGATGTTAAAATATAATACAACTCATTAATACGATACAAAAAATAGAGATTTTGAATCTTTTTTAAGTCACCTGTTTAAATAAACAAGTGATTGACACTTCAAGATTAATAAACAAATCTGGTCGGTATGAGTAAAATCAATTAAAAAAAATTAAACAATGCGACTTATTTATTTATTAGTTATACATGAGATGAACTCGATATAACATGATTCGTTAGACATAAATTAATAAATGAATCAAGTATATGTAAAATATTTTTTTATCATGTACTTGCTGCACCTATAATGATTGATATACGTAATTGTGATATTTGTAGTTGGTGTTGGAGGCGGGGTTGTGTGCAGATGAGTCACCCCGAAAGATAATAACTATTTATGAATTTGCATTTATGTTTTTTTTAATCAAAATATTTTCTAAAATTCATTCAAATCCGTAGCTCATATAAAGGGAATTATAGTCATTCCATAACTCACATAAATGGTACTTTAATCATTTCATTGGTGTAGTTATTAAAAAAAAAGGATGGACAAGGACGTGTAGTTCCACTTACATTATTGATACGTGATGGGGTTTATCTATTATTTGGACAAAACATAGGGGATGCAAATGTAATTAACCATATTTTAATCTAACCTATAATGAGTGGAGTTATTGCCACCCTTTAAATCTCTTTTTTCNTCACCATATTTTAATCTAACTATAATGAGTGGGGTTATTGCCACCCTTTAAATCTCTTTTTTCACTTCTTTTAATCCTCTTTCTTCAAACTATTAAGCCCAACTCATCTATACCAACCCGTTTATACTCATTCAATTAAACTATTAAATATANTACGTGATGGGGTTTATCTATTATTTGGACAAAACATAGGGGATGCAAATGTAATTAACCATATTTTAATCTAAACTATAATGAGTGGAGTTATTGCCACCCTTTAAATCTCTTTTTTCACTTCTTTTAATCCTCTTTCTTCAAACTATTAAACCCAACTCATCTATACCAACCCGTTTATACTCATTCAATTAAACTATTAAATATATGTTAAAGAAATCGAAATAAATGGACTGTGTTTAATAACTAATGAGGTGAACATAAATAGTAAATTTAATAGTTTAAAATAAGAGGATTAAATGAGGTAAGAAATAAATAAAATTTAAGAGGTGGGAATAGCCCTACCCAACCATAATAGCCCGTTTGGATTTTTTTTTTTTTAATTTTTTGGATTTGAATTATATTTATGAAGTCTTTCCAAACCTAACCCCAATAATTTATACATGAGATTCAAATAAAAATCCTATCCAATTTCATATTTGGTAAGTGACATAAATTCATATGGGGCCCATAGATTTTGTTGAAACAAATCAATTTTGACTAAAATGTCTATTATTAGGTGAATAGAAGAATATATTTTTTTTGGATAAAATAGTCTTTTTATTTACAAATTCAATCTCTCATTTCCAAAACCCCCATATAAGGATTTTA